ATTTTCTGAATGTCTGCTGTAAACACATATTTGTGGGTTCTCCAATTTAATATGACAGCTGATAGGTCATTGAGTAATGGAGGTCCCACACAAAGTAAATCGTTTAGCGATTTGCCGTTTGATGTCTTCGATGAGGCGTCGTAAACAACGCGCAACTTCGTGGAAGAACTTTCCGCCTTTATGACTGCGTGGTGTGGTAGGGCACAAGACGTGAAGGTCGGTTTGCCTGTGGGTGAAATGACTTGATGTTGGTCTTCGGTGGAAAGTGCTGGGGTTATTTGCTGGAGGTTGAAGTAATCCTCAACGGCACTGGAATAACCGTGGCGGAATTCCGAGTTAGCAGTTAGACGACGCTCGAGCTGATAATAGCGATTTAAAGCCATTTGCCTTGATCGACCTAAAGTCTGATTTGGATCAAAAATTTATTTTAAGGGTAATCTTACCATATACGTGCCATCTTCTAGACCGGTATGAGTGCGTTGGAAGAACTCTTCACACCATTGGTCCTCATCAGAGAGTATTCGTTGAAACGGCACTTGTTCAAGCTCGTAAAAAAGCTTTACAAGCTTCTCCAATTCAAGTGTGGAATGACAGCAGCGAAATTGTGTTGATTTTGCGTATGGTTGAGCTATGCTACCGGAGAGAATCCAACCTAGTTGGGTATTTTGTGCGATCGGTTGGCAATGAGAGCCCCGCCGCACTCCTGGTAAAATGATTTGGGCGAATAGATCGGCACCAATAAGCAAATCAACTTTGCTGGATTTGTGGTATGAAGGGTCTGCCAGAGGAAGACCATGCAGATGTGGCCACGATTGAGGCACTATGTTAGTTGTTGGCAAACAGGATGTTATTGAATTTAAAACATAAGCAACCTCGACTAAAGTGCGGAATTTGCTATTCGTAAGTGAGCGCAGATTGAAGCAAACCGTGCCACGGCAATAGTTGCTTGAGTGATTACCCACGCCAAGAATTTCGGTTGCGTTTGGATTTTTCTTTAACCGTAGAGTTTGCACGGTGTTTTCGGAGATTATGGTTCCCTCGGAACCTTGGTCCAATAAAGCTCTCACCACTGTAAACTCACCGGTTTCGACGTTTTGTAACTCGACAAGTGCAGTTGCCAACAACATCTTGCGTTGAGGGCTGCGATTGGTTCGCGATTCTATCTTGGCTATGGTTGCCGAATGGGTGGCGAATACATTTTCGGAATTCGGCCGCAGTGTTGCCGGAGTTGCAGCGTGAGCTTCGTTGGCCGCTTTGTTACCGATGCGAATGCGCAGTTGTAGAAATATGCAATAGACTATGGTGGCGTTTACCACACTGCGAACAATTCCTCGAGCTTGTGCAGTGAGAAATGTTATGGGACTGACTGAGGCAGTTAAAACAAATTTGTTTGTGATTGTCTAAAAAAGATTAACTTTGGTAGGGTTATTGCTAAATTTGGTTTGTGTATGAAACGATTTGGAACGTGGAACGGATTGCTGTGGGCCAAAGGAGTCTGAGGATGCACCTAACTCAGAGCGATTTTCGATGGCGTCTAATGTATGTAGTCGAGTATACAGGAACTCTTCAAGGTCCCTCAAGGTCGGGATCGTTGTTTTATTGCCGAGGTGATGCTCCAACGCTTGATGAGTTTCTTTTGGCAACCTAGTGACAAGGTGATGTACGATCCAAAACTTGCCGTCATCTACAAATATTTGCAGGCATTTTAGATTATTTATACATACATTAGCAGCGTTGAGCATGAACTTGATATCATCTGCCCGCTCCCTTTGCAGCTTCGGTAGGCTATACAAAGCATTCATATTATGTGTGAATAAAATCCGTGGATTATCGTATCGCTGTATGAGCAAATTCCAAGCTATTTTATAATTGGTTTCTGTAAGCGACATTTGATGTAAATCAATGTCGTGATCACTGGGAAGTGCCCCCTTTAGATAATGAAATTTTTGAGTATCATTTAACTCAAGATTGGTATCTATTAACCTATTAAACGCATCGTAAAATTATGGCCAATCGGTAAATTTTCCCGAAAATTTAGGAATCGGCAAATGCGGCATTGAAATCGATGAAATGCTAGATAATCGAGGTGGATTAGGAACGGACTCTACATCATGCCGTGAAGGAAACAACTCTTCATTGCGATCGCTAATTGCGCAATATATTTCCATATATGCTTCGTCGAATGCGGAGTACACTTCATTGGTGCAATATGAATGCTCAGAATCGATGCCGTTTGCAAAAATTTGAGTATGTGTAGTTTGAAATTCTCTTTGTAGCTGTGAGAGCTTTTTTAATCGCAGTTCGAAGTACGTCTTAGTTTTTCGCACGGCTGAATCTTTCTTAAAATTAGAAAATAACCTTTTTATTTCCTCCAGACGATTAATCTGCACCCTTGCCAGGTCCTCACTTGAAATTTGAACTAATGCCATTCTATCCACAAATAAATACACAACCAACTGAAATTGCACCCACTTACCTTATTGTTCCTTGTTTCTGTCGATGCGCTCCGTATGGTTTGCTGGGATTTGGAGAGCCCGTCGATGCTGCGTAAGTTTGGCGGTCGGCAACCGATGTTGTAGTTGTTGTAGAAGTATGTAGTACAAACTGGACTGGTGTTGCTATGTGACTGCTAACTGTGCTCTCTTTATGTTAAACATTGGTCAGGAACTGGCCTGATGCTGGTGTTATGCGTGTACCGATAACTTGGGTTGACTTTCCAGTGCTGAGTTATGTACCGCACTTGTAAGCACCGTTAGAAACAATCACCGGATGATTTTACCTTTGCAAGGTTCTTGACGACTGAGCTGAGTCAGCGCAGGCAGAACTGTGGTCTTAGCGGTAGCAGCGGGCGACTGAGATTGCTCTTATTGTTTGCCCCAAGCTAGCGGTTGTGCCCTTGAACACTAGTGCTGCGGTCACTGTTGTAGGTGCAGAAGTATATACGCAATGCCTTTGACTTATATTAATAGTTTTAGCCTTTTATTTTCGTATGCACAAATGCTTTGTTTGAAGGCATTTAGTTAGTTTTTTTTTTTTATTACTAAGTTCGAATAACCACTTTGACGTTGTACGGATTGTACTCATAGTTCACAATTAATTGGGGAATTTAATCGTGCCCCACGTTGGGCGCCAAATGGTTGTGCGGGATTTACGCATAGATGAATTTCTGATAATTCGGGGGTTCATTTTGTTCCCCAATAACCAATTTCGATTATGAATAAACACTATTAAAACATGTATATTTCAGTATTAAAACGTGTATATTTCTTCCTACTGAACTCGAGCGTTACAATTATTATGAGCTACTGACTGGACAAAAAATGTACGAACATAACCAAAGGCTTCTTTCTCAGTTCTCTTTAACAGAATATATAAGCAATCTATTAGTGCATATATGTGCATGTGTGTACGTAAGTATATGTTTAAATAAATATAAATGTGCAGCGGTAAAACATAGAAGCAGTCTTTCCCAAGTTTGTCCACTTGCAATTTTCTTAATTTACTCGAAATTTTTTTACGAGTCAAACGGACGGTTAAAAGCACCCGCAACTTTTTTTTGTGTTCCGGTGCCATTATTCCGTGAGTCGCAAATATCGGCACATTCCGAACGAAAAATAACACTGAAATTGGCACAACGTCGAAACCGGTTTGTCTCCAAACCAAATTTGACAAGGGATGATGGAAAATCGTTCCACATTACATCATACTCCTACCCTGTCGGAAACACCAACAACGAAAATAAGAATAACGGCACATGCAACAATTAATTGTAAGAAAAATATTTTCTAATAAAAAAAATTAGTATAATTGCCAATAGCATTTTCAATCTTGATAATTTGTCAAGAAAATAGATTTAAACTTCTGTGCTAGAACTGGGAGTTCTTGATAAATAATAAAAAATTTACAAATTATAAAAATATTGAATTTATTTAGTCACAGAAACGGTCTTTAAGTATATACACATTTGTTATGAAATATAACAGTTTTATTCAGTATATTCTTTTCTTAGTGACTTTCTAGTTTTTACCACGGTCAATGGGAACTGCGTTGTCACCCAGTAAAAGTTCTGGACGGGCATGATTGAAATGCTAAAACCTTGCCGTCGAACATAAATGCCGACACTAATTTGCGCAAGCTGTAAAGTTTTTAACGGTACATAATACAATAGGGGTATTCACGAACTCTTGCACGTTGCACGGATTGCACGAAATACAAAAATACTCTTCAAAATCGGAAAAGTACGAGTGCTCCCTGTTGCAAAGTGGTAGCATGCACAGGTAGCAAGCAGCGAAATTTTGTATCAAATACAATAACAAGATACAGCAAAAAAAATTAAGTGAGCGAGATTAGAGGAATGAGATAAATATGTTGCAGTTCCAACAACAAAACAGCTAGCACAGAGTCGCATTTATCTTGCTATGCTCTTTTGCAAAATAAGTGCATGGGTCTAGACGTTGCATACTTTGCAGCGATAGGAAATGCTGTTTCCCATGTGGTTGTGTGTTTGCAAGTTATGCGATCAGTGCTACGTGCGTGCAAAGTTGCAGTACATACCGACGGACTTTCATTTAAGTCTGTGTGCTATCCAATTTAAATTATTGCGTTCTCCTTATATTGCTTCTATAAGAAATATTTTCTGTAGGTTTCTTTACGATAAATTTTTCCAAAAACACAAAATTTCTCTCGAAAGGAATACTCCTGGATTACTCGCTTAGGAAACATCGCTTTTTGCTCCTAAATGAGTAAGAAGGGAGTACAAAACCGACCATTTCGCTTATTGCTCCCAAATTATGCCTTAGGGAGCATTCTTTAATTGCTCGCTTAGGAGTCGGAAGCGTGCGACTATTCGAATATCAAAAGCCGATTAATAACCGGTCGAACGAATACTGTCCGAATATTTGCTTAATGACCGATTATTCGAATAAATTTAAGAGTCCTAATATATGCATATAAATAAATATAATAACATACATATGTGTAATTAAAATGAAACATTTCAGGGGTGGCAGTTACTTACGATAGACAAAGTGATATTACTGGTCGTGTTTTGGTGCTAATTTTATTCTTCGCTTTACTTATGTCAGTTGCATCCAGAATGAAAGGTGTTAGAAGTCCCATTAGTATGGACTCTTTTGTAAGTATTTTATGTAGAATTCGATGAACTTAAAAATTACTCTATTTATGAACAGTCTCAAATGGGTAGAGCAAAATTTACCCTAGTTGATCCATTTGATGGCGGAAAAGGAGTACTTTTCAAAGATGTTGCGGGACTGCAGGAGGCGAAACAGGAAGTTAAAGAATTCGTTGATTATTTGAAAGAACCCGAAAAGTACCAAAAGTTGGGAGCAAAAGTACCTAAGGGAGCACTGCTCTTGGGACCACCGGGCTGTGGAAAAACTTTGTTGGCAAAAGCTGTGGCCACAGAGGCCCAAGTACCTTTCCTAAGTATGAATGGATCGGAGTTTATAGAAATGATCGGAGGCCTTGGAGCCGCTCGAGTACGAGATCTTTTTCAAGAAGGTAACAAACGTGCTCCTTGCATAATATATATAGATGAAATTGACGCAATCGGGCGACAAAGATCGGGAACAGAAAACATAAGCCAAGGAGGTTCCGGTGAACTAGAACAAACCCTTAATCAGCTTTTAGTGGAAATGGATGGTATGGCCTCTAAACAAGGAGTTCTTATGGTTGCGAGTACTAATAGAGCTGATATATTGGATAAGGTAAGAAGATGAGAGTAAGGCACTCCCCAAATTAGGTTAGCAGTTTATTTCATCCTTTCGGGATGCTACTGTGTGAAGCTTTTGCGCCCTGACATTCTACGAGTACATATATCGTCGATGGTTTTGCAAAACCGCCTATCTTACGGCACTCAAATTTTACATGAGAGCGAAAAAACGGTTTATTCTTTGAAGGCATTGCCTTGATAGGCGGAATTTTCTCTAGCTATTATTTTACAAATCTGTTGTTTTAATAAGGATTTAACGATTTTTATGCATAAATCTCGATGTCTGGATTTAAGGGTCACCAAATCTCATTTTCGCCACCACGGCGATTTAGGCGGTTTTGCAACTGGTCGATGGGTGGTTTTGCAAAAACATCGACGATATATATTGGGGCGTATTCTTGTTTCCGTACGAACCAAAATCATGAAATTTTTCTATCATTTTCTATACAAAAATTTCAAATTTTCGATTCGTACGAAAACAAGAATACGCGTCATTATTTCAATGAAACTCTGTAAATAACGATTCACAATCATGTTTTCGCCGCATCATTAAAGCAACATAAATCGAAGCTCCCAACATTATCGGGCGCTAGGCGTTTTCAAAACATCTCTTGTTTACATTTTTGTTTTGTGAAATAAAAATTTTATGGGATTATTTGTTACTTTAATATCATGAGGTACGTGTTTATTAACTTATGCATGACGTACAGTCATATTGTATTCGTTTCGGCATGACGAAGCGATCCCTGCAGGGAAACCCCGTACTAGTGAACCAAATTTCTAGTTCCGTACTAGATCTTTATCGCCAGAAACGAACCAGTCCGGTAGTAACTAGATACTTAAAAAAAATATATTTTATTTTATTTGCTAAACTACATATCGCTAGTGAAAAGTTGCTGCTAACTACAATTTATCTAAAATATTATATTTTGATATCTTAATTGACGAATTTAGAACAAGCTCGGCACTAGAGAAAAAGGGATTCAGAACGAAATATATCTCATCTGTCGAGTTTACAACTATTTAGTTTGGAACAGTCGAAAAAGGAATGCAGCGGGGGGCTTTTTTACTTTAAATAGATATTTCTTTGGCGGTTTTTTCGTTCATATACGCTTTCCTTTTGCACTGAAAAATAGTGAAACCAGAGAACCTAAATAACTGTTATGATTTCTTTTGGAGGTGGAAAACGTTGGTCATAGGACAGTAAAAAAAATTTATGTTACTTCATATGTAAGAGTTATTCCCAAAACTAAAAGTTGTTCGTTGGTCATATCTTTTATTTTCGATTTTTTTTGCTGAAATTTTTGAAGCTGATTTACATAGTGAAGACCAATAAATTAGGGATTTAAAGTCATACCATCGTAATCCCTGATTAATTCTCTACAATAACCAAATTTTTCAACTTTGGTTCTAAAATTGCCACCCCCATTTTTAGAAAATTTTTTGATTAAAGACTCATTCTGGTAAAAGTTAGTGTATTGAATCTCTATATATAAATCTGAAAGTCTGTACGGGGTCTGAGCATCACGAATAACGCGAAAATGGATACCGTTCTATATTTTGCCCACAGAACGGTAATAGGCATAGTTTTCTTCACAACAAATTTTAAAATTGCAATACCTGTTTTACAACAACAGCCGTTTTCGTTGTTCGAACTTAACTCAAAAACTACTGGATACAGCTCAGTCAAATTGTCGGAGGTTATACCTTACATATATGGTCCTATTATAGGCTACTAGAAAACACGCTGGTGGCGCTGGAGTAGAATTACTTATAAAAGTCGTATTTATAAACCGATTTCGTTGAAATTCGCAACGTGAACTATGGAAAAATGGACCCGCTGGAGTTTAGGTATTTAGAAAATCCGTATTTTTTATAAAATCTGATTGAAATTCATATTGCGTATTCATTTCATTACAAGCAATGGTTTTGCAGAAAAGGGACCCAATGGACAGCCGGTTCTACCTACCGGAACGACTCGGGTTTTACCCGACCAAGGGCTGTTGTTTCGGCGATCTAACCCCGTTTAGGTCGGCGAAGTATCTCAGAAGTTGGGCTACATTCGCTACGTTTTCTTCTCTTCAGGGCTGGCATCGAGTCAAACCCAGGGCCAGAAACCTACACCTGCTGTGTATGCCATAGACGACTACACCACAACTCCACCTCAGTCAAGTGCAATGCTTGCGAGGGGTGGAGTCACCTCAGAGTCTGCTGAGGACTACGTACACATCGGCACTGGACCACGTCTTTTGTGGCACCCTGCTGCTCAAACAGAGCAGCCTCCACGGCTAACCCCAGTCCACCTGAATAGTCCCACACAAACACCACAGCACAACAACATAACACAATAGACCACACCACAACTGCTACAGACCACAGAACACACACAACCGCACCACCACCCATACGCCGCCGCCAACAACTCCTGGTTCCTCCTACAATCTGCACGGTATGTCAGACCAGGATATTCCGTAATGTGACATCAGTCAAGTGCAACACCTGCCTTGGCTGGTGCCACTTTAGGGCATGCTCAGGTCTGCGCACCACGCGAGATTGGTGTATCGAATGAAACAATTCATTTATGTTTTAATTGTATTGAATTTATTTTACTGAGCAACTCAATGTCGCTTTGTAGGTTCTTTTACAATTGAATTCTTAGCCTAACATATTGGGGTATTTATGGGGAATAATTGCTGCATAAGCATAAATAATATTGAGCTTAAAGTTAGTTTGTTTGACGGTTTGGCACGTGTGCCTGACAATGCGTGAGTTCTATATTCAAAATATTCAAACAACTGAAATATGAAACCCTTGTTGTTATGAATAAATTAAATAATTATAAACGTTAAGCATGGTCGACTTTCAGTTACACTACACCTCCTTTTTTAAAAGAATGCTCATACAGAGTTTATTGTATGAACATTCCTATTTAGCAAGTAATTAAATATAATAATAGTTTATAAATTTATTTAAACTTAAAAAAAATTGTTTTAATGATTATATATCTTAATTCTATTTTTATGTACAATTTGGGTTTTTCCCGTTTTCTTATCACTTATAGTTACATTATTTTTAAAATCTATATTATTAATTTTAAATGGTCCTTTGTATTGTGGGTCCAATTTGTGCCCTGATTCGTTTTTTAGCAAAACTAAGTCACCTATTTTAAAGTTATAATCTAAAACATTTTTATCAAAATAAGATTTTTGTACTATCTTAGCTTGTTCTATCATATCCCTTGCTCTTTTATGAGATATTTCTAACCTAAATCTAATTTCCTTAGCGTAATTATCTAAATTATAAAGTGGGTTTATTTTGTCAACCTGATCAAATTGTTGAAACCCATTTGGAAGTTTTCCAAAAACTAACTCGTATGGACAATAGTCATGTACAGTTGATGGTGTTGTATTAAATCAGTATGTAAAATACTTAAGCCACTCATCCCAATCACTTTTGTCTATCGATACATATGACCTTACATATTGGTTAAACGCTTTATGTGATTTCTCGACCGTCCCTAACGTCTGGTGGTGGTGGGCGGTTGATGTTAGTTTTTCTATATTTAAAAGTTTGCATATTTCTTCTAAAAGTGAATTTTTATATTCCGTGCCCATGTCCGATATGAACGTCTTCATAGGACCGTAGACGAGAATAAAATTATCAAAAATTGCCTTAGCTATAGTTTTTGCATTTTTATCTTTAGTTGGTATTGTCACTAAATATTTAGTCATGTCGCATATTATCGTGACTGCGTATGCATTTCCATTTTCTGACAATGGTAGCGGGCCGATTGTGTCAACGAATATTGTATCAAATGCCTTGTTTGGTGTTGGCGTCAAAGTCATTGGACTTTTTATATGTTTTGTGACTTTGGTTATTTGACACTTATGACAATTCTTAACATATTTCGTGATTGTTTTAGTCATGTGTTTCCAGTAATAGTATCTTTATTTTATTCAAGGTTCTTGAAATGCCACAATGACCTCCTTCTGTCGGGTCATCATGATATCTTTTTAATATACTTTCAATTGTTTTTGCATCTTTATAATTTATTTGGGTCACCCCATTCAGTAGCGCTACTTTCATTTTAATTAATTTCTTATTGCCCATTTCTTTAAATTCATTTATAGAGACAAATTCGAAAATTTTCTCACTAGGTGCCACTTGTAATTTGTCAATTGAATGCTTATCGGCCACATCATCGAGTCTAGAGAAAAATTGACCTAAGTCAAATTTCCCTTTAACAAACAAATCATTGATTTGTATATATGTTTTAATAGATTTACCCCGTTTGATATAGCATGTCTTGGGTGTAATCTTTAATTTATAGTATTTTCTCACGTCAGTGTTATTAATAGGTACATATATACTGGGCTTATCATATGTATTAGATTGATGCGTTTTAATTGTGTTTTGATTAAGAGAACTTTTGTTTGTCATAGATCTTGTTTGCATTTTGTATAAAGTGTTATTTTTAACATTTATATCTTTTAAATCGTCAATTGTAATGCGTGATAATGCATCCGCAACATAGTTGTCTTTTCCCCTAAGGTACTCTACCACAAAGTCATATTCTTCAAGATCAAGTCTCATTCTAGTTAGTTTTGAGCTAGGGTTTTTCATTGAAAATAGGTAAGATAGTGGCCTATGATCTGATCTTACCAGAAAATTTGTTCCGTAAATGTATGGTTTAAAATATGTTATTGCCCAATGTATGGCTGTTAATTCTTGTTCAATTGTTGACTTATTGCTTTCTCCTTTTGTGAAAGTTCTAGATGCATATGCCACCGGCAATTGTTTTCCCTCATATTCTTGTGTTAGTACAGCACCACATGCGTGTTTGCTTGCGTCAGTAGTTATACAAAATTGTTTGCTGAAATCTGGGTACTGTAACAATGTAGGACTTATCAATGCCTTTTTAAGGTGTTGGAAAGCATTATTACATTCTAGTGTCCACTGAAAAGGTACTCCTTTCTTTGACAATCTAGTGAGATG